ATGATCAAACCCTAGAACTCATTCAGTGTTAATCACATGGTGATGTGAACTAGATTATTGACTCTAGTAAACTCTTGGGTGTTAATCACATGGCGATGCGAACTAGATTATTGACTTTAGTAAACTCTTTGGTTGTTAGTCACATGGCGATGTGAACTATGAGTGTTAATCACATGGCGATGTGAAATAGATTACTGACTCTAGTGCAAGTGGGAGACTGTTGGAAATTTGCCCTAGAGGCAATAATAAAATGGTTATTATTATATTTCCTTGTTCATGATAATTGTCTATTGTTCATGCTATAATTGTATTAACTGGAAACCGTAATACATGTGTGAATACATAGACCACAACATGTCCCTAGTAAGCCTCTAGTTGAGTAGCTCATTGATCAATAGATGGTCATGGTTTCCTGACCATGGACATTGGATGTCATTGATAACGGGATCACATCATTAGGAGAATAATATGATGGACAAGACCCAATCCTAAGCATAGCATAAGATCGTGTAGTTCGTTTGCTAGAGCTTTTCTAATGTCAAGTATCATTTCCTTAGACCATGAGATTGTGCAACTCCCGGATACCGTAGGAGTGCTTTGGGTGTATCAAACGTCACCACGTAACTGGGTGGCTATAAAGGTGCACTACAGGTATCTCCAAAAGTGTCTGTTGGGTTGGCACGAATCGAGACTGGGATTTGTCACTCCATATGACGGAGAGGTATCTCTGGACCCACTCGGTAATGCATCATCATAATGAGCTCAATGTGACTAAGAAGTTTGCCATGGGATCATGCGTTACAGAACGAGTAAAGAGACTTGCCGGTAACAAGATTGAACGAGGTATGGGGATACCGATGATCGAATCTCGGGCATGTAACATACCGATGGACAAAGGGAATTGTATACGGGATTGATTGAATCCTCGACATCGTGGTTCATCCGATGAGATCATCGTGGAACATGTGGGAGCCAATATGGGTATCCATATCCCACTATTGGTTATTGGCCGGAGTGGTGTCTCGGTCATGTCTGCATGGTTCCCGAACCCGTAGAGTCTACACACTTAAGGTTCGGTGACGCTAGAGTTGTAATGGGAATAGTATGTGGTTACCAAAGGTTGTTCGGAGTCCCGGATGAGATCCCGGACATGAAGAGGAACTACGGAATGGTCCGGAGGTGAAGATTGATATATTGGACGAAGGGTATTGGAGTCCGGAATTGTTCTGGGGGTACCAGGTGACGACCAGTGTGGCCGAAAGGGGTTTCGGAGGCCCCGACAAGCGTTAGGAGGGGGGGCTTATGGGCCAAGGGGAGGGGGCACATCAGCCCACTAAGGGGTTGCGCGCCTCTCCCACCTCATCTCACGTAACTTGGAGAGGTGGGGGGCCTCCACCTGGCTTGGGAGGCAAGCCTCCACCTGGCTTGGCTTGGGGGGCAAGTCTCCCTAGGATTTCCCTAGGGAGATCCAATCTGCCTTGGCCGCCGCCCCTAGGGAAACCCTAGGGCGCCTCCTCCTCCCCCCTTCCCCCTATATATAGGGAGGGAGAGACAGGGCAGCCGCACCCCTTCCCCTGTCGCAGCCCTCTCCTCCTCCAACTCCTCCTCCTCCACCTCCGTAGTGCTTAGCGAAGCTCTGCCGGAGAACCACGAGCTCCACCACCACCACGTCGTCATGCTGCCGGAGTTCTCCCTCAACTTCTCCTCTCCCCTTGCTGGATCAAGAAGGAGTAGACGTCCCCGGGTTGTACGTGTGTTGAACGTGGAGGCGTCGTCCGTTTGGCGCTTGATCGGATCTTCCGCGATTTGAATCGCCGCGAGTACGACTCCATCAATCGCGTTCTTGTAACGCTTCCGCTTAGCGATCTTCAAGGGTATGAAGATGCACTCCCTCTCTCTCGTTGCTAGCATCTCCTAGATTGATCTTGGTGACACGTAGGAAATTTTTTGAATTATAACTACGTTCCCCAACACACACTTACTCTATTATCACCACCATAGGCACCCTTGATCCCGTCTCGCTCGTACTTCATGGAGCTAGAACTTTTCTGAAGCCTGGGCAACTTAAGCCTGAATCTCTAACATGCAAATAAAAAAATGGATGTTCGGGTACAATATATAATATAGCATCAAACTTGCAAAACACAAATCCACCTTAATATCGAAGTAACAACACAAATATAATAGCCCCATTTCTTAGAGAATAAATTTGAGACTTGACAAGAAAAGTCACAGAATGAGGCCATGCAAAGAAAATGAGCTACCAGAAGTTCAGAGAACAGAGCTACGTGCATCAACTAGATGTATCAGATTATTAAATATTTTTTTGGTGATGTCCAAAGTGAAGCCGAATTATTTCTTGCCATATTACTAGCGGACAGACCACAACCACACATACTTACAGTCTATGTAGTTCCCAACAACCAACAAATAATGTTTCTCTTTGGCAAGACGTAGTAGAACTGTAAAAGTATATAAATCTGTTCAAACATGGAAAAGTATATAAATCTGTTCAAGCATGGAAAATATACACTGTATGGTAGCCATTTCGTCAGGAGCATTTCACTGTGCCACCTCAATTTAACCCATCTACAGTAGAACGACGAACTAATCGTGCATGCTACAAGTCCATCTCAATTCTCAAATAAGACTTTTGAGGGGTAACCTAATAGGCTTGTGTTGTAGTACACAGAAGCTTTACCATAAATTCAGGAGAATTCGCTAGAAAAAAGAGATTCGTGAGAAACGGCTCGGTAACTCAGATCCAGACTTACAGTACAGATTTGAGAAAACAATACTAGGTTCCAATCATTGATCAGAACGTATAAACTTTACCACTGATCATCTTTTCTTGCTGACAGAAATATTGTATTACTCAAGCCAACAAAGAATTACAGTCAGCGGAGACTAGCTCAAGCACACTCGAGGGTCCAGAGCCAATCCAAGTCATGGTTCTTCCCTTTGTACGAGCAAAGTTTGCTAGGCTATAGCTAACCTGATTTTGGATACGGTTTACATGAGTAATACAATTTTCATTGAGAGATAAGAGATATCTAATCTCTTTGACTAATGAGGCATAAATAGATCTATCTTTATCTTTTTCTTGGATCAACTTTATAGCAACAAGTGAATCCATCTCAATAGCAATTGGACGACCACTTGCTGGATCGCTAGAGACAACCTTTCCATACAAGCACAAAGCTCTGCCTCCAAAGCTTCACGACACGAGAAAAGTGTTCTGCATGCAGAAAAAATTATGCCTCCCAAAGTGTTCTGCATGCCGGGTGGCCGATATCAAGCTCTTGGCCTACGTGCGTTGACACAAGGCGAAAATGATTTTCCTGTAGTGACGCTCCTCCGCCCGTGCCGTGGCCACCACGTTGATTTGCCGTTGTAGTGGCCATGGCCAATGGTTTGTGCCCCTACGTGGTAGCCCAGCAGCCACCGGAGCTCCACAGCCGGTCGCCCCACCGCCACGGCTGAGTGGAGGGTCGGCGACACTTGGGCGGCAATGGCGCAACGTCTCCGAGTTCCGGACGCATAGCCGCCGTTTGCATGTCGAGGTAGCGCTTCTAGTGGCCGTTGTCCACCCCTTCCTGACAGCCGCAAGCCACCGACGACTCGCCGGCCGGATTTCTCCTCCTCGCACACTAGGGGTTAGATGAAATATCAACAAAAGTAAAAAAAATCTTGTGCGCTTTTTATATGCATTTGCAGAACTATAGGTTGATAGATAGTTTCGTACCGTAGATGAGTTCTTGCGACTCCAACTATTACAATGATTCCAGCCTATTTTTGTACAATCTGTAGTTTTCGATGCAAATTTGTAACTCTTTTTTCCATGCAAATTTCCAGGTTTTTCAGGCCAACTACCTTTTCCAAGCTCGAAAAGTACTTACCGACAAAAACAGCGTGAAATGACTGTAGCCAGCACAAAAGCAGCGTAATTTTTTACAGACCACGTCTCAAACGCGTAGGGCTGCTTATGCAAGTGCTGCATGCATGTGTGTCCGGCAGGGGGCTCATGCAAGTGAAGGAAAGGAATAAAAACAAAGAGAATTTGCCATCATGGGAGAAATTTTACCGTAGGAGAAAAAAAAAATCCAACATGGATGCATGTCACAGACAGAGAGAGAATGCACGAGGAGGAGGAGGAGGATGTACGTGGAACAAGAGGAGGAAGAAAAAGGACAAAACAAAACCAATAATTCTCTGCAGCCAGTCAAAGCCATGCATCGACCCACATCGAGAAATAAGGATTCCAGTTATCCTCCCGGCTCCTCAGCCGTTTGGGATTCCTGACCGTCGGATCTGGTGGCTTGATCGGATCTGGGCCGTCGGATCGACCCCTGGAACGACCTCGTCCGTCGGATAAAAAAAGTTACTGCTGGAATGAATAGTTACTCCCGTTTCGTGCCACCGCTCGTAAATAGTCTGCCCCGCCGGGGGCATTTTCGTCATTTCGCCTGCAGCTGTATAAAACTTGACCACCCGCGTGGAGATGACCTAGCCCGCACTCGCGCCCCTTCCCTCGTCCTCGCCGCCCCGCCTGCATCGCCCCG